TCATGTTGTGTGGTTTTTCACACCTCTTCTGTTGACAGATCTTGATGAATTCGGCCTTGGAAGTTGGAGAGTACCTCAATTTCTTTGCAATTGCGCAAAACTGTACCCAAAGAAAATATGACAGTTAAAAAGGATTGAATTCTAATTAACTTGAATGATCAAATTGATTGTAATGACTTACCTTAGCCAAAGTACGTTTACAAGAAACCGAAGTGTAGCGATCATCCTCCTCCTCTTCGCTAGCATTTTCAATATCGGCCTCATTGAGTGATTCATTGTCATCAAGATCTGCTCCGTACTCTGATTTCTCATCACTTGAATCATCACCTGCTGAGGTGGGGGAATCATCCCGGAGGCCCCGAGGAAGCCTAGGATGAAATGATGAAATCTAATCAGCAGCTCATCTTCTCTATAAAAATTCATGATAAAAGACTTTCATTAAAGCTTACACTCTGATTTGATCTTCAGGATCTTCTTGTTCAGAAATTGAACCATCTGAATCATTGTCAGCAGCCATTGATCCTCGATCTTTTGTGTCCTTCTTGTGACTCCAAAACGGCCAAAGAATCCCCTGGACAATTAAGTTGAGGATGTGCGCGAAACATCGTATCCATTGAGCGTCCCCGTGGAATCAAGTCCACTTGAGCTTCTTGAGCTCCCATACCATCACTTCATTATTCTTTGCATTGTCACTCACAATGCCACATATCTTAACAAACAATGAGGTATCAGTGTTATCATTAATGCTTGTTAATGTCCAAAGAATCCAATAAAATAAAACTCACTTTGTCTTGAATTCCAAATTTCTCAGCAACTAGGCGGACTGTATCGGCCAAGTACTCACCTGTGTGCCTTTTTGACAGGCAAACAAAGTCCAGAGGCATGGCCTCAAAAGTTCGGTTACCTGATTGATTATCTACTAAGCAATATCCGACTACACCCAATATGTCAAATCCATTTGGTGACTGCCATGTGTCGACTCCTATATATAATTCACCTTTATGTGCCTAAGAAAAAAAATAAGAAAAGAAAGGTGAAATTAGCAAATGATAAAAAAAGTGCAGATAAAGAAAGTAGTAAAGTACTCACATTCAAAGTCACTTGGTATTCATCTTGTATAGCTGAATAAAGAAGGTGGATGTCCTTTGAGACCCTGCTTGGCGGTGGTAGGTGCTTGACAACTGTCGGGTGAAGGATTGCTTTGTGGCTGGCATCCACAAGTGAGGAAAAAGGCCTGGCAGCTTCTGCACACCAGATTGCACATAGTTGGGGAACCTGGATTATGCATGTAATGTTCAGTATGCGTACAACAGACACAAACCTAAAAGTAAAAATAAAAAGAACTTACCTCTGTGGGATTTGTCAGCGCCGGTCTCTTGCGTGACCGAGCGTTGATGGGGTTTAATGGTCTCACTATAACTGCAAGGGCAGCCAATGGAAGAGAACCGCACCTCGACGCTAGGAAGCGGAGGGGTTAGCTCCCTGGGTTAGAGGGGACACACGCGGAATGAGCTTCGCGGTGCCGAGCTTAGAGGATGTACAACTCTCTTCTAGGCTACAGTAGTGACTTTACTGTAGTCTAGGAATGGAGGGAGATGATAAAGGGTAGATGTAGGGATGTAATAAATTGTAATAGATTATAAAAAACCCCACTCACTTAATTTAAGTAAGGATAACAGGTTTGTATGGCAATAATCTCTGGGGGGAAGAATCCTAGAGGGAAAGCCCTCCCCCTTAAGTATTGCAAGGCAGGGTTCAAACTGCCTGTTGGACCGGACAGGTCCACAGATGATCATTTTATGTATTTAAATCACAAATGATCAGAACATGTATTTAAATTAAGATTACATCAAAAGTGGAGGGAATGACATCATTTCTCTCTATGGGAAATCCATACAGAGAGGAATAAATTAATCAATTCCCAAAGTGTAGTAATCTCTCTAATTACAGAATATACTTATAGAGAAAGAAGAATAAACTTTATGTACATAAGTTAGCATCTCTGTAATAAAGGAATATTAATACAGAGGAAAATACTAAGTTATTCCACGGAATTACTTAGGAGAAAAAAATATAAAAAAGGAATGAATAAAAATACAATAGAGTGTTGAGGGGGATTGAACACAGGGTGTTGGTAAGAATTGTCTTAAGACAGTTCTTAACCACTACACTAGCCTGTTTGTACTTATATATTCACATTGTAGACACATGGGCTATAGCCTCAGTGTCTGACATTCGCCCCCACTAAAAAAATTACTCTACGAGGAATTTTTTGACCTCTTGGAAGCCCTGAATTGTCTTAACAAAACCTGACAATTCTTAATTTTATCAATCTCTAACCACATATCTTGATCAGGTTGACAATTCTTAAACCTAACCAAATAAAGCTTACAGTCTTTACTTTGTTTCCTAACAATCTTTTCACTTAAAATTTTGTGAGGGATTTTGTCCGATACTTCACTCTCTATAGGAGGACGGACTTCATCTTGCTCAACTCTTAAAGGATTAGTTGTAGGATCCACATATTTTTTACACAAACTTATAGGGAAAGTAGGATGTCTTTGGGCAAATTGATCTGTAAGTATTACTTCCACGGCATTTCTTCCATGAAATGCTTTGATCACAAATGGTCCAATAAAGGCATCTTTCAACTTTCTTGGGCCAGCCAAATTATTAAAATTTACTGTGGAAATTAAAACTTGCCCACCCACTTGTAAGTCATGGTCCTTATGAGACTTGTCCCATCTTTCTTTATTATATTCAACTGCCTCTTTGACACATACACTAGCCTTCTCTTCAGCCTTGAACATCATTTGCTGAAAACACTCAGAACTTGGATGTAAGGTAACAGTCTTAGACAGTAAAAAGTCTTTAGGCATATTAGGGATCCAACCTCTCTCAAGTTCAAAGGGAGCAATTTCAGTTACTGAATGTTTGCTAGAGTTGTAAGCAAATTCTAGAGCAGGCAGCAGGGATACCCAATCATGCGTGTAACCATCGCTTGTCTTAAAGTCCAAACCATAGGCACAATATCTTCTTATCATGTCCTCCAATGTTTGAATCATCCTCTCAGCCAACCCATCCGTTTGTGGATGATAAGCAGTGGAGAAAGCTAACTTGGTACCCAGAATTTCAAAAAGATTTTGCCAAAAATCAGAAGTAAATTTTGGATCTCTATCACTTATAATTATTCTGGGGCATCCTACATCACTTACTATGTTGTTCCAAAAAATCAGTGCTATATCCATAGCACTACTATCTTTGTAACAAGGGAGGAACCTAGCTCTTTTGGAAAATCTGTCACACACCACTAATACTGCATTAAAATTTTCAGTTCCTGCTGGTGGTAAAGCTGTCACAAAATCCATATTGATTATTTCCCAACGAGTCTTAGGTTCTTCAATAGTTTGTAAAAGGCCAAATCTTTTTCCAGTTGATTTGTTGGCCTTTTGACATCTTTCGCAAGAGTCACAGTAATCTGATACTTGGTTTCTCCAATCAGGCCACCAAGCTAGGTTCTGAACCCTATTCAAGGTTCTTTCTTTAGAAAAGTGGCCAGAAGTGATACTGTCATGACACTCATTCAAAATAATACTTATATGACTAGGATCTAACAAAACCACTGACGAGTTATGTTCACGTCTGTGATACAGTAACCCATCCAGCATGACAAACCTATCTTCTAAAAAGTGTTTTTTCCAAACACCTTCTAATCCTTCTACAAGACCTTTGTCTGCGTACGGGGATTTAAGCAATTTTTTGAGAATCACTGTATTACTGTTAGAGTCATAACTCTTCTCAATCAGTTCCCAGAATGAAGAAGACAAGCCTGACACTGAAATTGCCATGATGGGATTGCTGTCAACAAAATATTCTTTCTCAAAGGCTGGGTTGTCCTCGTTATTAGGCAAAGCCCAGTGAGCCAAGCATTCAGACATCCTCATTGGATATGGCAAGATAGAAGCAACTGGAGTTCCAGTTTCTACTTCTTCAGCGTCATAAGCAGGATTATCAGCATTGTTGGGAAGGGCCCACCTTGAAAGGCCATCTGCATTCTTATGGACAATACCTTCTCTATGAACAATAGTCATAGATCCTCTCCATTCCTGGATTGCAATTTGCCACCTAAGCATGTGTCTGTTGGGTGTCTTCATATTCAACAAAGATCTCAAAGCATTGCAATCTGTGATCACATCAAACTCACATCCGTCAAGATAATAATAAAGCTTATCTAATGCCCAAACCAAACAAAGGCATTCTAGTTGAGAAGCTCCATATTTTTTCTCAGATTCTTTGAGCTGTCGTGAGATGAAACAGATTGGACCTTCTACTGGTTTATCATCAATTATTTGTACTTGATGTAAAGCAGCTCCTATCCCTTCCATACAAGCGTCAACATAGAGTTTAAACCTTTCTTTTGGGTCAGGATGAAACAACAGAGGTGCATTAGTCAAGGCAAATTTAATGGATTCATAAGCTTGTACTCTTTCAGCTGTCATTTCAAAGACTACATTAGGGCTACACAATTTGTACAGACTTGAAGCCATAGCTCCAAAGTCTTTGATGTGCAGTCTGTAGTAACCCGCAAAACCAAGGAACATTTGCATTTCTTTAGTATTTTGCGGTGTAGGCTTTAGCAAGACTGCAGCTACTCTATGCTTATCTATTCCTAAGGATAGACCATTAACAATATGTCCTAAGGCTTTGAGTTCTTGGAATGCAAACTGGCACTTTGACAAAGATATTTTCATATTCATCTTGATAATTTTCTGAAGAATGATTTCTAAGCGTGACAAATGATCCTCCCAATTATCCGAAAAAATTATGATGTCATCTATGTATATAATAAGCCAGAGTTGATTCAACTCATGCGAAAATTCAGTGTCCATCATACGCTGAAAATGTGAAGGGGCATTTTTTATACCAAAAGGCATCCTAAGGTACTCAAAAATGCCTAAGTGACAAACAATCCTGAGGAATTGTCTACTGTCCTTGTGAATCACATTTTGATGAAAGCCCTTAAGGACATCCATGCATGTAATGTACTTAGCCTTATGTAACTTAGTCAAAGATTCCATAATTTTGGGCATAGGGTACCTATCTGGGTTGGTGTAGCTGTTAAGAGCTCTGAAGTCACCCACTAATCTGGACTTATTATTGTGCCAAGCTATAATAACTGGAGTAGTGATGTCTACATTCTCATTTGCACCTACTTTTCTAATGACTTTAAGTTTTAACAAAGCTTGAATATGTTCTTCCAAGGCCTCTCTGCTTCTGGGGCTTGCAGGGTAAGGGGCTTTTCTCAGAGCCGGAGGGTAAGGTTTATCAATATTCAAGGTCAATTGGACCTCGTGTCCTCTAATGGCTCCAAATGGTTCTTCTACAGTAGCAAAGGCCTTCTTGTTAACAAAGAGCAATTGAAAAAGTTGATTTTTCTGTGTAGAAGACAAAGAAGGACTAATTTTGGAGCTTTCTTGCACTTCCTTGTCAAAACAAGATTTTTCAGGTAAAGTGATAGCTACTGTGGGAGACTTTTCTTGATGAAAATAGTACTTATCATTACTGTCCCCAATCTTAAAGTAACTACCTGCATCATTCATGATGGAAATCTTGAAATGACTTAAGTAATCATTGCCAATAATAAAATAATTAACAACTGCATTCTCAATAACTATAAAGTCAATTACAAAGGAGTGACTTTGAAAGCTGAGGTTAACTCTAACAATACCTAAAGTGGACAACTTGTCTGAACAGCTATGAAATTTATCATTGGATTGACCCCGCACAAATTTCTTCCACTGCGGGCAGTACTTAGACAAATATTGTTGACCCACTACTGATTTGAAAGCACCAGAATCCAAAAGTACTTTACAACTTTTTCCTGCGCAGCTCATAGCCACTACTTTGTTGCTTCCTGCAATGGAAGTAATAAAGTAATCCAATGCGTTGGATTCTACACAGATAATTCCAGGTGAGTCATCCTCCAATCCTAAGTCACTTTCAGAATTCATACCTAAATCCTCTTTGCAATCTTCTTCATTAATCACATTTACTTTTTTAGAATTTTTGGGGCAATTCCTGGAAGTATGACCCATCTTCTCACAAGAATAGCACTTAACATCTTGATTAGACTTAGATGGTGGAGTAGTAACTTTGTCTGTAGTAGTGCTGGACGCATAACTCTTGTTACTCTGTCCGTAAGGAGTTCTCCTCTTACCTATACTAGTGTAGTCAGTAATGTCTTCCAACACATTAATCAAGGACGTTAAAGTCTGATTACCTCTCATGGCATTTTGGGCAGCAAAGCTCACTTCTCCATCCATTTGTGTTAACAACTTAAACATTAAGCTTTCATGGTTGGTTTGAGGCTCACAAGCCATGATCCTCTTGTATTGTCTAGTAACCCAATTTCCTGCTGGGGTACTACCTGGGATGAACTTATCTTTCAAGTAAATATTCAACAACTTCCTCCTCCAAGAAGAGGTACCAAACTTCTTATTAATTGCCTGCTTCCAAAAAGCCCAGGACTGATCTCCAACCATATCCCTAACCGTAGAAAACCAAGGACGGGCTGAACCTGTAAACATATATTTCAGTCTCGAGGTGATAACAATATCTTCAATCCTGGCATCTTCCTGAATTGTGTCAATAGTCTTAATAAAATCCACATGATTATACTCTCCATCTCCTGAAAATACTGGCCAGGCTTCCATTTTGGTCAGACCTTGTAAAATTACTTTACTTGATTCTGGGGAAATCTGAACTGGTGCTACAGATGTTTCTCTAGGTTGAACCTCTGGAACATCAAAAAATTCACTAAGTCTGCCTGGATCAGGATCAGTGCTTTTATTGTGAATTCTGAAAAATTCCTGGTTATTATTCACAGAGATGTTCTGATGTGGTCTAACTTCTGGACAAACAGGGGGAACTGTATTTCTATGTGTAGAGAATTTTGGCCCTTCATTAGGAGGAAGTGAAGAAGTTGTCACTTCAGGGACTGACTTCAACTCACTAAGTTTTTCCAAGAGAACATTAAATCTTTTTTCATTATTACTTTCCATCACCAATAACTTGGCATTAACATCTAAGACAGGTTGATTTCCTAATTCAATGAGGTGATCCAATTTCTCATTAACTTCTCTAAGCAATTCATGCTCAAACTTCAGTTCTGAAATTTTTTCATGACAGGAACAAATATTACCAACTGTAGCTGAATTACTGTTCTTAGCAGCAGAAGAGGATTGTTCAAAATTATGACAAGTCTCTGCTTGTTTTCCTTTGTTCAGCTTATTGGTTGAGGAGGAAGTAGGAAATAAGTTTTGAGATGCATCATTTGCTTGACTCAAGTGATGAAAATTACCAGTTTCATTGGAATTCAATTTCTGTGACAAATTGTTAAGAAATAGATCTAACTTCTTCTTATTTTCTTCTAATTTGTCATACACTAAGGCAAACAAATTGTCAAAAGCTTTCTTAGATAAATCTTCTCTATTGTCAATAGAAATAATAGAATTTCTAATATGTTGCAAGTCTTTAACTAACAGAGGGGAAACAGGAAGTGAGGAAAAGGAGGAAACATTGTCTTTTACTAATGCAAGGTCTTTACAGGTTTCTTGAGAAATCTTTTCTATAGGAGTAAGAGAATTTTTGATTCTAGTCAGGGAAGCAATCACATTTTCAGAGGAAAAAGTTAGAGAACGAAATTGAGGTTCTATGGCGTCAAATTTTTGACTCAGAAGATTTTTAATATCAATAGAAGATTCAGTCCTAATCTGTTTGGACAAAGTAGCGAAATTATAATCTACTATTTTCTCAATGGAATGAAATAAGTTTTGCAAAATGGGAAGTAAATCATCAGAAGTCAAGGCCTTACTGTTCCTACCTCTGGGTGTAGATGACGACTGTCTCACCCGGCGTTCTGGTCTCGCATCGATTCCAAGGCTTGGAATTGGGCCTGGGTGGTCCTGTTGAGACGAATCATCTCTCGATGGATCGAGAGCTGATGAGATCGTCTTCTCGCTTCTCTGCTGCTCCCTGCGTTCGAGTTCTGAGGGGCTCGGTTGGGACCAGGTCTGGGAAGCCAATCGGGACCTCTGTGACTCTGGTTGCGCCTGCGGTTGGAATTCCTTCTGCGGTTTCTGTTTTGATTGGACTGGAAAGTGGTCGGTCCGCCTGTCGCCGACGCTGGGTGAGCTTGGCCACTCGTCGGATGATGGTAATTTGCCGGAGGATGGTACTGGTAACCCTGAGCTGTCACTGGATAGCTCGGTTGATTCCAGTACGGCTGCTGGGCTTGCGGATTCGTCGGGGGGTAGTAGTACCCTCCCTGAGGATGGTTCATCGCGGCCGGAGGTTGATCGGACGAGTTGATCGTCGGTTGTTCTTGGTTCTCTTCCGGTGGTCTCATCACGTCCTCTGGGGCTTGGGAGGGAGTCGTCGGGATCCCCTCTTTCTTCCAGTAATCCTTGCCCGTCTGTCCCGTCAGGTAGTCTTGGTACTCCGCTACCGGATTCCATTTCTCGAATAGAGTAAGAAATTCCTCCAGGTTCATAACCCTGAGGAGGTCGGTTTGAGCCGTCGAGGCGGCTCTCAGAGCCACGATCTTCTGATCCTCGTCGTTCGTCTCCAGCGCTCTGCGGTAATATTCTTGCTGGAGTTTCACCGCTTGAAGAAGCGGATGAAACGACGGGCGATACCTTCGCAGAATGTCGTCCGCGAGGGGCGCCTTTGAAGTCTTGGGCTTCGACCAGAGCTGGGCGGTGGCTCCTGGTTTTAGACATAGTAAAAAACGGATAAAAAAAACAAAACTTAAGCAATTGATTTAATAACGGACTGAAGGGACGAAAAACTAACCGGTAATGACGTCTAAGTCGCTACTGTCAGCCGGCTCGTATGGTTCAGTCGTGAACGAAGCGCTAGGAAGGATCGACGATGCCGACGAGATAGATCGAGTTGTTCTTCCTTGAGGAACAAAGTAGTTCTCGATCTTTTTCTGAATTGTAGAGTCGCTCGAAACCTTCGGAAAAGACGGAGCAAAGAAGTTCTTTTCAGGTCTAGTCGATTTCGATTCCTCGTGCTCGACGGCAGTCTTGGAAACAACCGGATCTACAGATCGGTTCTCAGTCGAAACAGCGGCTAGGTTCGGTTGATTACTGATAACGGAAGGAGCCTGTTGAGGAACCGGTGCTTTTAGTGCGTGAGTCGACTTCTGAATGTGAATGTTCTTCAGAACTTCTTTATCGATGAGCTGATCGATCGGTTTCTTGCTCTTGAAAGGATCCGCAGTCGTCGAAGACTTCTTTAATTCCGGAGCCGTCGAGGACTTCGCTTTAGGTTTGTCTGACTTAGTTTCTTCTGCGGAACTCGTGTCCCACTCTGACGGTACGATTTCTGGACTGATCGGCTTTTTAGCTTTCTTGTGGACTCTAGCTGCAGGTTTCTTAGGAGCCTTTGATGGATGAGAAGCCGAAATTGGTTCCGTGGTAGGAGCTTGTTTAGGCTGAGCAGTCGTAGAAACGGACTTATTGGAAGGAGTCGACACTTGAAAAAAACAAAAAAGATAATTTTGCTCGAGTAAGTTCAAGTACTGAGTAAGATATGCACAAAGCTAGTTTAAGATACTGACTTGTAAAATCACAATTGCGTAAAAGATTTATCACGACAGTCGACCGATCCAACTAACAAACTAATATTGGTAGTGAGACCAGTCAGCGCTAAGATGTCGATACTCAGAGAGCAGATTCCAACAAATGCTCAAAAATCTGTAGAACTTACTGCGCGTTTGTAAACTGAACTTAGGTAAGAACGGAGTCCCGATCGTCGCGATTTCTGTAGCAACACAGAGAAAGGTGTGATGAGTTGACAATTCTGAACAGATCGCAGCAAACTTGGAATGGACACACTAAAAACCCGCAGGCTTGAAGCGAAACGTGGAGACTGAAGGCTTACAGCGAGTTGAGAAGAATGATCACTCGTGTAGTAATCCGATCTGATCAGTGATGTCGCAAGCGAGGAGAGAAGACCTAATCAAAAGAAATAGGATTGATCAACGGTCTGTTATCAAAAGGTTTGGAATGGCGGTCTCAGGAAAAAGAGAACACGGCCAGACCCCCAATTGTCAGCGCCGGTCTCTTGCGTGACCGAGCGTTGATGGGGTTTAATGGTCTCACTATAACTGCAAGGGCAGCCAATGGAAGAGAACCGCACCTCGACGCTAGGAAGCGGAGGGGTTAGCTCCCTGGGTTAGAGGGGACACACGCGGAATGAGCTTCGCGGTGCCGAGCTTAGAGGATGTACAACTCTCTTCTAGGCTACAGTAGTGACTTTACTGTAGTCTAGGAATGGAGGGAGATGATAAAGGGTAGATGTAGGGATGTAATAAATTGTAATAGATTATAAAAAACCCCACTCACTTAATTTAAGTAAGGATAACAGGTTTGTATGGCAATAATCTCTGGGGGGAAGAATCCTAGAGGGAAAGCCCTCCCCCTTAAGTATTGCAAGGCAGGGTTCAAACTGCCTGTTGGACCGGACAGGTCCACAGATGATCATTTTATGTATTTAAATCACAAATGATCAGAACATGTATTTAAATTAAGATTACATCAAAAGTGGAGGGAATGACATCATTTCTCTCTATGGGAAATCCATACAGAGAGGAATAAATTAATCAATTCCCAAAGTGTAGTAATCTCTCTAATTACAGAATATACTTATAGAGAAAGAAGAATAAACTTTATGTACATAAGTTAGCATCTCTGTAATAAAGGAATATTAATACAGAGGAAAATACTAAGTTATTCCACGGAATTACTTAGGAGAAAAAAATATAAAAAAGGAATGAATAAAAATACAATAGAGTGTTGAGGGGGATTGAACACAGGGTGTTGGTAAGAATTGTCTTAAGACAGTTCTTAACCACTACACTAGCCTGTTTGTACTTATATATTCACATTGTAGACACATGGGCTATAGCCTCAGTGTCTGACAGGATTAATATCACCGGTTCCGGTTATTCCTAGATTAGCCAAGGATTGCATGTGAGCCTGAGCCTCTTATGTGGCGACAGGACACAAGAGAATAAGGGGAACTAATGGTTGGATTTCGAGGAAGAAGGGAAATACAACCAGAAGTTAGCAGAAAAGGGGAAAGACAAGAGAAAGGAAAATAGAAAGAAAAAGAGAAATATATTTTTATTTGTTTTTTATCTTTTATTTGATTGAATCTGCAGTCTTACTTTCCTTTAGTAGGATGGCTGATAAGCTGTCAAAGACTAGCCTCTTCTACAAAAGAAACTGTAGAAGGTTTTAGTTTGAATATGTTCAGAACTAACCACTATTTTTTAGATCTATGATCAAGGCTCTTTAAAGGGAAACCTATGTGGTTTTCAGGTTTACCACCAAACAAGAGATGAAGATTATGATTGAGTTGATTAAAGAGAGAGAGAGTTAGAGAGAAAGATATGGTTGAAGAACCATATGTGAGACTGAGATAACAGAGCAACGGAGAAATCAAGCAACAAGAAAGAATACTAACTGTCAGAGTCCTAGCACGACCACGTGGAGGTGAAACTGGGAGTTGGAATCCTTTCGACAAGTTAAGCGCCAAGCGGTAACGGGGTTGGTTGGTTTGTTGGTGGTTCTGGTTCAAAGTGAGTCTAAAAACCTTGAAGATCCTGAAAAATGCGAACTTAGAATCCTCTGACAGGATTTTCAGAGTTGGATTACGTAATGATTACATGTACTTGTGGTAGAGGGGAATTATAATTCTTGAGTAGCAGAATTTAGACAAGTACTGTGGAATAAGGCAAAGTATATGAAGGATTAGAGTAAGATAAAAGTGGTCAGTGGTGACTAGGGGTTAATTTAGCAGAGAAATCCATATCTGAAGTCAGATTCAGGAAATATCTTATGAGTAAAAAGTTATGGTAATATTATAGTGAGAAAAGATGGTAAAAGCAGTCTTTTGGCCAGCTGTGCTGGCTCTAAGGCTGACATTGCATATTTTGGGATTCATTGTGTTTGCGGCGGCAGAGCAAGGCATGTTTGTTGAGATTGCTGCAAGATGAATCTGAGGTCGGGCGGTTGATCCGGGTGCCACATCTAAACACACATGAAGCCCAAGGAAATCAGCCACAAAAAATCTGATTTATGAATGGTTTAAAAGAAAAAACAATAATAAATTAATGAGATATTAAAAACAAAATAGCTTACAGTTTGCAGGGATAAGCTATCATACGCCGGCCATGCTTGTCCCTCTGATCTGAAAGCTCTGGCTCCCTGTATGAAGTATAAGTTGAGCTGGCAGAAGATTGAGCTACCCTCTGGGCTCTCACTTTAGTGAAAAGCAAAAAAAAAAACCATACATTACATCAGCCTGAATGAAAAATTAAAAAAAAATACAGACAGGCAGGAATAAATGACCAGAGAGTGAGATCTTACATAGCTCCTCCTGGTCAGTTGGGGCTTGTTCACTTGCAGATGGGGGCTGGGTGCATGGCTGGGTGCTTGGTGTCTCCTGGCTCTCTCCCTCTCCTTCTTGGGGATCGTATGACTTCGACGACGAGCAAGAAGCGACAGACTTTGCTCGGACACGGCGGCAAGGTATGTCGGACATCCTTCGACGTGTCTCGCTTCGCTAGCGCTTGTAGATTCTTCGCTTTGGCGGGTTTCAATCAAAAGCGATGAAGCTGTGTATGGCTGTGAAGAGCAAACAAGCAGGCACATCAGCCCGCTGCTCAAATGATAAAAAAGTAGAGGGGGAAAAATAGTGAACGAAGGTGGTGGCAGGGAAGAAAAAAAGGGGGGGGCTTACCGTTTGTAGGTCGATCGATTGGTGATGAGGGGTTTGTCTTTGATAGTCGATGGTGACCGTCCGTTGGTCGGTCCGGTTATCTATGCGGTAGTAGTGGTACCTACCCGCCGAATGAGGTGGAGATGGGCGGGGCTTGGTCCTGGGCAGAAGTCAAGCCCCTGCAACCCCTGTGCAGCCCCCCCCCCTATGTTTTTGAGACATCAGAAGGTACCTGTAGCGGTACCCGGGTACCTCCACATTTTTGCCCAAAAAACCGGCACCCGGCACCTCCTGGCGGGTGCGGGGCGGGTGCGAGGGGTACCTACCAGTAGGTACCAGGTACCTGCAAAAAGTACCAACGAACAATCTCTAATTGATGAGGGGTGGGTGGGTCCAGTGGCTGTGGTTGTCAGCCACAGAGTACATGTCACAGTACCTTTCATGTACCAAGTAACTGCAACACCTGTACTTATGTACATAAGTACTTATCCATAATGTTGATTACCTTTACCTCTTGTTATCTTATCATTATCATTAACTTATCTTATTTATCTTACATTTATCTTATCTGTTAATTACTTATCTATTAAATACATACCTGTGTCCTACATAAGTAATTATCACTTACCTTTCACTCCTTTGTCCGTGAAATACCTGTACCACAAGTTATCCCTGTTCTACAGTATTTTCACGGTCAAATATTATTACAAATAAATATGTACATGTATTAAATAGTAAGTATTAAGTGTCAATAGAATTAATACATTCAATACATGCACTGATCACAAATTATGACTCCATTATTAGAGGATCTGTTAAGTACACACATCAAGAGCTACTAGTACATTGATCAACTAGTACACAATTATGATGTCACTTACAGATCATGACAAATAATGATCAGTCACTCAATTGATGTGCTCATTCTCCTGGCCAAAGCTCCCTTGATTCTGAGCGCTTATTCTTTCCCCCCTTCAGTATTCTGGAACTTATAATCTGTGCCTCTTTCACTGATTAATCCCCAGAATATTCAGACACCAGTTAAACCAGTTAACATTTATATTGATACAGTACACGTAACCAACATAAATCTAGTCTACATTTATTGTTCTTAAGCTTCAGTACTCTTACTCAACTTATCCACAGTATTCATAGCCTTGCTGAATATTCCCATCAACAATACCTGTTAATCTTCAACTAATTTTGTTAAAGCTTAATAAGTATTGTTAGCCCATTCCCTTTTGGGAATAACCAAATCAATCCCAGGTGAGTCTTAGTACCCTGGATGCCTATTAATACCTTGTATTGATCCGGTTGTCCGGTTGCGCTGTTGATAGAAAGCCTCGAAGTAAAGACCATACTGATAGAGTGAAACCTCCTCTTTACAGGACTGGTATTAATCACCCACTACCTAACACTCACCACACTCAAAAACTTCAGTCAACTCATAGTAACAACCTTTTTACTATTAAATACTCAGGTTAGATACCCAGAGGCTGACAATTGAGGGTCTGGCCTAATTGGAATTCCGTGACCAACATATCTCTGTGCTTCTTTTACCTCTTGTCCCCAAAACAATTACTACTAACAATGGCCTTCTGAAGAACAAATGCCGGAAGTTTTGCCATTTATTAGACAAATCGATAGTACAATTGCAGAAGAAGCTGGTAGATATTACCACAGCCACCCGGATAACATTACAGTTATTGAAAGAGTAGAAAAAATTCAAGTAACAGAAGCAGAAGATAGATTTTGGAATTATACAGAAACTAAGCGCTACCATTGTACCCTTCATTCTACCTACTCCCCTGAATACATACTCATAAATCTTGTAGAAGAGGACGTGTCCATAGTAGAAAAAACCGTAGAAACCAACAGAAACA